CGGCAACCGATTTCTCATCACAGGACGTCACCGCATCACATTCAGGGTTCTTAACAGTGACTATGTCGGTATCGGACTGGTCTCTGACTCGTGTGTCAGCACAGATCAGGAGTTTCACAGGACGTCGCACTGTTGTGTTTATTATATGACAGGCGTCTTTTATTCAAACTTTCCTCATCACCGGAAGGAAGACGGACTTGAGGCGTTAGAAAAGGATGATTACGTGTCACTCATGGTTGATATGAACAGGCGTGTGGCGGAGTACACCCTGAAGAACTCGGCCAAGATGATATCACTTGGAAACGCACGGAAGCTTCGATTTGCTGTAGCCATGAAGTTGAGTTCAAGCGTGCGTATTGTCCCAGAGGAAGAGGCACGACAACTTCCCCTTTTCCAGCGGAAGGCTCAGACAGATGCCCTCCTGCCTGGTAACCGCACGCCGACGATGGGCGACGACCGTGAGGCGCTCACACAAGTCTCGCAGTCCAATGGCGCTGGGTTGTCAGCCCCAGGTAGAATGCAGGAGCAGGTATTGTTGCAACGGCCACAGAGTGCAACGTCTCTATTTGTTTCACGTAGTTTGGATGGAGGCTCGCGTCCTGGCTTCACCGATGGGCTTGGAAGAACAGCGCGGGCCATCGTACTCAGCTCCTTTACGAGTGGCTCTTTGCCGAGTGATATCAATGAAATTGATCCGCTCCTGTTCATTCCTGGGAACCGCGAAGCTCGTGATGACACGTAACTCGTAACAAATGTATCTACATACGTAGATATAATACGTATATATGTGTGTATGCAGGTAATCATCATATATATTGCAAGTCGGAAAAAGAGCGAAGTGTGCGGTTGTCTATGTATGTTGCCCTCTTTTTGTGCGCGTGTTGACGTGCTATGAAACGCACAATTAAATTGTTTTTTTTTTCTTCTTTTTTTTTTTTACTGAGAATGCATTGCTCATTGATTCCCTCTCGGTGTGGGGTCAAGGTGGGCTTTCATTGATCCTTTTCTTCTTTGTTGCATGCGTTCAGGGAGAGAGAGAGAGAGAGAGAGAACATTGTGGTAGTGGTTTTGGATGTTCCTTGTGGTGTGCTTTTCTTGTAATTTTGTCTGCATTGCCCCCTTTTCCTTCTTTTGGAGAATGCTGAATTTGCTCCCTTCTTTCTTTTTTTCTATTCTTGTGCCCATTATTTGTATTTGTGTGTGTGTGTGTGTGTTTACCGGCTTTTTTTAAAACTGCAGCAAGATATCAATCGTGTTTTTGGCTTGCATCGTTTGCAGGCGCACAGTAGTGGTACAGTAAAGTGAGGCAATGTCAAAAAATGCTGCTTCATCAGGGAAAACAGCGGACGGGGGCCTTCCAGGTGCATACGGTGAGCAGGGCACTCAGGAGCTGACGGGATTTGTGCAGAATCTCCTCCAGAATATGCAGGAACGTTTTCAGGAGATGTCAGACACCATCATCACCCGCATTGACGAGATGGGAACACGCATTGACGACCTCGAAAGGTCCATCTCGGAGCTGATGCAGCAGGCGGGCATGGAGGAGGGGGAAATCAGCACCAGCAAGAACCAACCAGCCCAGTCAAAGAAGAGGTAAATGTGTTTCACGTAGAAAAACGTGTGATTCAGGTCGTTTTTTTTTGTTGTTGTTGTTGTTGTTTTTGTTGTTGTTTGTTTGTTTGTTTGTTTTCTATGAAATTTCATGCATTTGTGGTTTTATGTTTCATTCATAGTCGCAATTGAAGTCGCGCGGCGTGGGCGTCCGAGCACCCTCACTTCTGCATATTGAAACGCACTGCAGAGAACTGTAGCTACAAGAGAGCGTCACCCTATAGCGCGAAGGAAAAATAGAAGCAGAGGAGAGATGAAGGCCCCAAATAAACGGAATAGTGGAGGGAATGAAATCAAAAGAGAGCAAGAAGTAGGGGAAAGGAAACAACAAACAGACGAGAGGGGAAGAAGGGAGGAAAATTGTGGAAGCAGACGAAAAAAAAAAAACTGACTGCCATTTTGCCTGTTTGTTTGTTTATTCCTCTTTGGACAGACCCGCCGTGGGGGGGATGGAGATGTCAGCGGTGCGGATTGCGCCGAACCTCTTGGACAGGCGCATGCATCTTCGTTTGTTTTTGTTTTTTTTTCGTGTGTGTGCGCACCAAGGGGCGGCACGCCACGCACCCATGGAGACTGGCAACCAAAGGAAGGAAACAATCTATGATGCCTGCCGCTTGGGGAACGAGGCACGTGTGAAGGAATACGTGAGGCATGGAGGTTGTGTCACGGAGCGCGATGCGAACAGGATGACGCTCCTGCACCATGCAGCATTTTCTGGAAAAATTTGCATTGTTGACGCCATTCTCTCCGCGCAGCCAATGCAAACTGTGGACTTGGATGCGGCGGACGCTGGTGGATGGACGCCGTTGCACTACGCGGCGGAGCGTGGATTCACCGCTGTGGTGGAGCGTCTCCTGGATGAGGGTGCCAATCCAAATGCAAGGGATGAAATGAAGCGCACACCGCTGCATCTTGCGGCTGGTGCTGGTCATGTGGGCGTGCTGCAGATCCTTCTCAAGAACGGCGCCATGCCCAGTGCAAAGAATGTGGCAGGATTAACGGCGCTGGCGTGTGCCGGGGCAACTGGCCAGGTGGAAGCCGTAAGTGTTCTTGAGCAGCAGTGAAGAAGAGATAAAAACGGAATCTCCCTCTGAGTGTGTATGGTGTTGGTTTGCGTTCAGGATTATTTCTTGGTCTCACCTTCCCTGTATATTTGCAGCCTTAAAACGTGAACATTCTTCCTGCCTCTTTGCTTTTTTTTTTTTTTATCGTGTATGTGTGTGTGTGTGTTACGGAAGTTTTTGTTTTCTTTTCAATCTTGTTGGACCGACCGCATTGGGTCGAGGTTTGCCTTTCACCCACACGTGAGTTTGAGAGGGAACGGGTAAAATGACTGTTGTGCAGGAAGCCATTCGCGTGACGAGTGCGACGCCCCAGCCGTGTGGCGCGGCCGATGATGTTCTTGCGATGAAGACTCTTTCGCCGCACGACAAGGTTCGGCGGTATATGGAGGAACAGGAGTGTCGGCATGTGCCTCCCACTGACGCGACGCCAGAAGTGGCATCGTCGGAGGGCGGGCACGATGACGCGCTTCCGGGCCAACATGAGGATGGGGATGGAGAAATAAATCATAAAATTGTGCCTTTCACGGGTGAACCGGGGCCGGACGCCAGAGAGAGAGTCCCTGATCGCCAAAAGGAGAAGAAGAAGCAGAAGAAGCAGCAGGCGCCCCGTAAGAGAAAACACCGAAGTGAATGTGCGGGACGCGAGGCTGATGACCCCTTGCTTCTCTTCCGCCGTTCACAGAAGGCGCTACGGACTGAGGCACGTCATGTCAATATGAAGGAGGTTCTTTCTCGCTCGCTCTCGGGCGTATTTGACGGGCTGGGCGAGGCGAGCAATCCATTTTCTCCAGCAGCTGGGTCGCAATCGTCTTCTGCATGGAGCCCTTTGGTCGCCAACAGCATCACCAGTCAATTCCTCTCAAATGTGCAACAGCGGAAGAAACAGACCTTCGAGCGCCTCCTGCAGAAGGAAATTGCGAACTCCCAGCTTTCCACCTCCCGTCTTACCCCAGATGACGGGGAACCCGATGATCGTATACCAGAACTTGTCATTGGAGACGAAACAGCCGTTATGGAACCGCCATCCATGGGGCATGATGCTCTCCTCATGGATGCTGGCACAACTTCATCCCAGGCAGATACACTTCTGATGGGCAATACCACGTCCCGAGGATTTGTTGAACTTGACGAGGAGGCGGAGCAGGCACAATCAGAGGCGTTAATGCGCAAGCACGAACTCTGGCGTCTGCGACAGAAACACCTGCGGGAGCGACTTCGTGCGGAAGAGAGTATCCCTCAACTGAAGCGAGGAGACCACCAGGCATCACTGCGTGGGCAACCCCAAACGACTGTTCCGATGAACTTCGTCACCCAGTCCACCTCCTCGCTCTCTACAGCGCGCGGTACTACGGCGGATGTTGATGGACCCACGGAAACTCTCGTGTTGGCGCATTGTAGCATCATTCAACAGTCACAGAGCCTTGCGCTTGGACTCTCTGCCGATCATATTGAGATGATTCGCCGTGCAAACAATTTTGACAACACTTCAAGCCAGCGGTTGGTCGTTTTTGAAACGAAAAGCAGAATGAAGAGAGAGGGACTCGCCCATTTACAACAATGAAGACATTATGTGAAAGAATGGAGCAATGAAGAATGGGGCGGATGGAGTTATGGCAATTTTATGCGGGCTTCCACTTGGAGGATTATTTTACTTTTTTTTTTTTTTTTTGGCTTTTTGAATATATATATCTTTATGTAATTCTTCTTAATTTATGCATGAGACCTTCCCATTTACAGTTGTTGTTTTGTTCCTTTCTCCCCCTTGGGAAAAAAGGGGGTTTAAACACTTCTTTGTGGTTTTGTTTTTTTTTTTGCTCATTGTTACACAATGGAGCTATCATAGAATGATTGTGAATGTGTTTGGTAGAAATCTACCTTTAAAATTTAAAAGGGAATGGGTAGTACTACCGCGCCTTGTGTTGTGTATCAGAGAGTGTGCATTTGTGTGTGTGTGTGCGTTCGGCGCTTGTCTGATGAAATTGTCGTAGATAGAAATCTTAGAAGAGGAGGGACGGAAAGAATATTGTATTTGTGAGAGAGAAAGAAAAAGACACATTCCGCGTGTGCATGGTACGAGTTTAACATGAATCTTGGATACGCGAAGTGCCTTTCTGTGTGCATTCCTAGTACTTCTTCTTTTTTTTTTTTTTTTTTTTTTTTCTTTTGGAGGCGGAGAGAGCTGCCAGTGATAAAAATGACAGATTTAGACACCACAAAGATATCGATCATTACAGGGAAAAAGGCGGACCCCAGGCTACTCGTGGAAATTGGGATCCATTCGGACGAGGTACCAGAGGCTGTCAAGAAAAGAAATTCCCAGGAGAAGCGATGCAACCTTTGCTGTATGTCGTATGGCTTTCTTCTCTCCTCAGCGATGGTCCTGATGGTGTCTTGCATCGGAACTGCTGCATGCATCTTCACGGAAAAGAGAGTAAACTACACTTTAAACGGTACCATGCGACAAGTGGCTTGGATCGCGATACCAGGGGTACTTGCTGGAACAACCCTACACTACTTTCTCTCGGAAGCGATGTGGAGCAGCAAACGCAATACATGGGGACAAGCGTGGATGAAGGCCATTAGTTTCAATAGCCTCACGTGGTGTACTGCTATTAGCGTGGGAACTCTATTTTGGCGCAAAGGCCTTCTCATGAGTTCCGCCGGACGACGACTGTATTATCGTTACCCCATCCCCACAGTGCCTTTGGACTCCCGGGTCCTCCGCAGTGATGTGGAGTTTTTCACGGGAATGGGTTGGACGTATTGGTTAAGCGGCGTAGTTAGCGGTCAAGTTGGGTATTTGAGTTGTGTGGGATTTTGTCTTTGGAATGACCGTCCCTACTTCATGATGAATCCGCATGGAGGATATGCTTTTCGCTGCATGCCTCGTTGGCGTAGAGAAGCCTTTGCAAAGCAGGCGAATGTCAGGCTTTCAGATCTGTGACGGTGAAAGAAAAGGGAAAAAAAAAGGCGAGAGAAAGAGGGAGGGAGAAACGCCTCCCGTTGAGGCGTTTGTTTTGACGCTAGAAATCTTCCATTGGGTTTTGGCTCCGCTTTTGATTGTGTTCGCGTCTATGGGCAGGCGGAGAGACGACTCGACCGTATCCCGCCGCCTTCCTTCCGTGGACTCGCCCATTCTTTTCATTGTGTCCTGTCTTCTTCATTTCTTTTTCTTTTTGAACACACGTCCATGGAAGGGGAAATACACGGGAATGCTAATGAGAGGTTGGTACACGCAGTCATGACGAAAGATAGAATCAAAATCAGGAAGTCCATGAAACACGCCCATGGCGCCGCTGCAGTGGAAGATGCCGTTGGGATCACTGAGCTGCGCACAATACACCGTTGCGGCACCGGAGCGGAGGAGGAACGAGGCCTGCGATTGACAGGATTGATGAAATGGTCCCTTGATGATTTCATCGTTCAGGAGGTATGGCCCGATGGTTTCCTCAGCCAGGTGGAAGAAAAAGAGGTAAGAAAGAAAACAGCAACCGCTTTTGTTTTGCGTGTAATTTCTGAGGGGATTCCAGACACGGCGATCGCCGCCTTCATTGAGGGGCGGTGCCCCCACAGGGCGTCGCTTCAGTTTCTCACACCATTGGATTTTACCTCTTCTCAAGAGCGCTTTGTTTTGTTGCACTCACCTTCTCGAGAAGTCAGGCATGTCTTT